CCCACCAGATGACTTATAAGTGGCCACTGCTGGCTCTTTCAGAGTTTATTTTAGCAACTTGTATTTTTTTGTGCCCTTAAAAGAAGATCCAGGGTTTGTTCCTCTGATTCGTTAACTCAGAAGTCATTAGCAGCTGCATGAAATCTCTGAAACAAGCTCTTTAAAAAAAAACACAAATAGCTGGCATTGGCTACTAAAAAGAATAACTAGTGTGCATGCTTGGATATGTTCATTACAAACTATACACTACCTCAGTTGGAATACCATATACTGGGTTTCCCCAAAAGTAAAACTTACCTCAAAAATAAGCCCTAGCTTGATTTTGGGGGTGGGCCTAATATAAGCCCTACCCCAAAAATAAGCCTTAGTTTTAGGGTGAGGCACCTAAAAATAAAGCTAGGGCAGGGGGAGGTGGAGATTACGATTGCAGCCAGGCCTCCCATGGATTGACTCTTTCCTTGCCGGAAGGAAAAGCTTCATTCTGCAGCTGAGAATGGAGCTGGGTCTGCATTTCGCAGAGGCCTTCCCGGAAGGTTTCTGCAGCCGAGAACGGAGCTATGGATTCATAGCTCCGTTCTCAGCTGCAGAGGCCTTTCCAGAAGGCCTCTGACTGTGAAATGCAGGTCGGAGCTCCATTCTCAGCTGCAGAATGAAGCTGCTCCTTCGGCCGCAGAAGAAGTGGCCGGCTGGCCAGGTCTGTCTGTGCTGCCGTTGCGAGGTGAGTGGAAAAGACACCCCCCCTCAAAAATAAGACCTGGCACCTCTTTTGGAGGCTAATAATAATAATAATAATAATAATAATAATAAGAAGAAGAAGAAGAAGAAGAAGGAGGAGGAGGAGGAGGAGGAGGAGGAGGAGGAGGAGGAGGAGGAGGAGGAACTGGAGAAGGTAACAAAATACAAAAGACCTACAAACAGAAATAGAAAGACTGTGGCAAAAGCAAGCAAGGGTACTACCAATAGTAATAGGTGCCTTGGCTGCAATCCCAAAACAACTGGAGCACCACTTGAACACCATTGGCATTGACAAATTCGCCATTAGTCAATTGCAAAAAGCGGCCTTACTAGGAACTGCTTCCATCCTGTGACGATATCTGTAATACCATCAAACATCCACATCTGCCTATCCCAGGTCCTTGGTAAGGACTCGATAGGTAGACAAAATGCCAAATCCAGTCTGAACATCTGGCTGACTGTGCGATGATCAATAACGATAATGATAATGATAATGATAATAATACCGGGTCTTATTTTCGGGGAAACATGGTAGTACCTGTATTTGGGCTGCAAAACTCAAGATGGCCATTAGCAGGCAGGAAGGAACATTTTCTGTATCTGTACTGCCACCTAGTGGTTCTCCAAATTTTTGTAGCCTAGACACATATTTTATCTTTAGAAGATTTTGAAAAAACAAGAGCATGCATTGTGCTTACCTTTTGTTAATTAGATTATTTTAGTTTAATTAACTTTAATATAGATCATTCATTGTAAATATAAAGACTATCCTTATTCTTTCTCCATATACAGTATATAACATACCATCTATACTTGGTATTTTGCAGCCACTAATCCTATTTGCATCATTCTGTAGATTCGAATATGTTTTGTATATATTTTTTTAATATTATTAATTAGAATTTTTAAAGCATTGCGTCAGTGTAACAGAGCTTAAAATAGCATAGATTAACAACTGGATAAGCTATTTTATCATAAGATACAGTTATCTGCCTTGCCTGGGCATCTAAATTTAACTGGTCTTCTCTCGTTGGCAGGAGTCCTTCTATGCAGCAAAGAAGGCCTTCAGACAGTTCAAAATGCGTGTTAGAAAGACACTGTCCCTCAGTTATTCAGGGCCTGAACCACTTGAAGATATGGTGATGGACTATATAATTCGTCAGGAAGATCTCTATGATGTTCAGTCCAGCGTCAGTGTAAGTCTGGGGCAAAGTGATATTGCTAATAAAACACTGCTGCTTTCATAAACTGCAGCTTCCAAGTAATCTACAAAGACAATTCCAGGCAGGCCATTTTACAGTATTCCAACCTTATTGCTGAGAGCACAAGTCATTGTTGCCAGGATATCTTTTCCAAGAAGGGCCACAATAGGTGTACCAGAACAAGGCTGACAAAGTAATGTAACCACCCCTGGCCTCCACCTCCTGATTAACTAGAAACTATGGATCCTGACCAAGCCTCTAAACCAGGGGTCTTCAAACTTGGCCCTTTTATGACTTGTGGACTTCAACTCCCAGAATTCCTCAGCCAGCGTGTCTGGCTGAGGAATTCTGGGAGTTGAAGTCCACAAGTCATAAAAGGGCCAAGTTTGATCTAAATGGTAGCCTGGGCTAGAATTATGTCACTGGACATCATTAACGTTGTTATATCCATTAGCCAACTAACGGTTTTCCTTGTCCAGCAGTTCCATTTAGAGGTTGAAAAACATCAGGGCCTGTCTTACCTAACTTAAAAGTGACCAAAGGATTTTCCACAAAAGTAACTACGGTAATATTTTTTTTCTGTCCTGGGTTACGTTTAAAACCAATCTAAAGGGATCCAGATTGTGTACAATACTTAATCCAAGACTTTAGACACATTGTCCCATCATCTTTTCCAGAACGTTCTTCCACTTAGGCTAGACTCCCTCTAGTCTCATTCCTCAGAGCTCATTTGTAAGCAAAGGAGAGCTAAAGTACAGCACGGGTGTCAAGGTCGATCGTGTCACGTGATGTAGCATGACATAGCGTGCCTTTTTTTTGCCTTTGTGGAGCTGGGCTGGGCGTGGCCTGTGCATGACACCCAGGCCACGAGGGCCGCCAGTTTGACACCCCTGAAGTACAGCAACTCAGTGGAGGAGTTGTGGCAGGCGGGAGACTTAACAAAATGGTTCCTTACACTGACCATCAGCTTGGTCTATGACAGGGGTAGGCAACCTTGGCTCTTTTATGACTCGTGGACTTCAACTCCCAGAATTCCTGAGCCAGCCATGCTGAGGGAAAAGGGAGAGGTTTCCAAGCTGAGCCATGCTGGCTCAGGAATTCTGGGAGTTGAAGTCCACGAGTCATAAAAGAGCCAAGGTTGCCTACCCCTGGTCTATGAGGAAGAAGTATTCACCAGCGATTATATCTCAAAGGTGTCATGAGAACTTGAGAAATCCACCAAGTCTAAATGTTAGAGCAATGAGATCCTTGGGATCCGTACGCCTCAAAATCTGTATCTTAGGCAAGTAATAAAGTACTATTTAATAAGACCTCAATAAGGTTAATTCTGTTATCAGTGTTGCCTGCGATACATTCCATAATGACATTCAGTATTATATGGCTCTTTCTGAGGCTGAGGATTAAATAACAATGATTATACTTTTCTTCTAATAAAATATGGTTTGTGTACCAGGAGTATTTGGAAGAGGAGGGTCAAAAGAGGACGGCAGCCATAACCAAGTGATTGAAGCCCTACCCCTTTATTTATGATGTATTAGAAAGGGGGCAGGGCTTCAATTCTGGGATTACGGCTGCCATTTTGCCTTTTTTGACCCTTCAGACACCTCTGAAAACATCTCCGTTCCTAACTATGTCTGACTTCATTGCCTCTTCAGCTGTATAGCTGTGGCAATAGGAAATCTTTTAAGTCAATCCCTAAAATAAAATTTTAGTGAAGTTCCACATAGTAAACTATTTCACTCATTTAGTTAAAAGTTAAATGGAAAGTATTACAACGTGGTTTGTGATCGATGCCAGTTATGTTGAGGGCTTGATTTTGAAAAAATAAATAAATAAATAAATGTTTAGGAAGCTACTTAGTCTTAACCCGGTCATCCTGTCATTTTTTTTTTATTATTATTATTATTAAAATTTATATACCGCCCTATCTCCCTTACGGGACTCAGGGCGGTGAACAGGCAATAATAAAAATCACAATAAATATTGAATAAAAAGCCTGCACTAAAATACCCCATATAAAACCCCTAACAAAGCCCAATCAAAACTACGCCAGGCTGGCCGCATGGAATAGATGGGTTTTCAAGGCTCGGCGGAAGAGGCGCAGGTCCGCAGTTGTACGTAGGTCGGGGGGGGTAGGTCATTCCAGAGGGCAGGAGCTGCCACAGAGAAGGCTCTCCCCCTGGGGGTTGCCAGCCGGCATTGACTGGCCGACGGCACCCTAAGGAGGCCCTCTCTGTGGGAGCGGACTGGTCGAAGGGAGGTATTTGGTAGGAGGCAGTCTTGCAAATACCTGGGTCCATTGCCATGGAGCGCTTTAAAAGTTGTTACTAACACCTTGAAGCGCACCCGGAAGGCCACCGGCAGCCAGTGCAGCTCGCGCCGGAGAGGTTCCAGTTTCAAATGGCCTATCTGCATTTATTTTTACTTTTTATTTTTTTGTAATTTCCAATTCGTTTTCTCCAAGGAAATAACCACACGTGTTTTATATGCTTTCAGGAAGTCATCCGTGCACTGAACATCAGTCCCAAGATTTCTGTCCCAGGAGTTGATTTCATCATGATTAGTAGTTTAATACGAGAGTTGTGCCGGATAGCTTTTTCCATGCAGACTCTTGATCCTCCCCTTGACGTTGCTTTTGGTACAGACGGAGAGCTGTTCAGCGAGTACAAGTAAGGGGAA